CCATCGAATAAAAATGGTTAGCAACCGCATGAAGGCAAGGTACGATCGAGCGGCAAATACCGATGGGTTCCAAGAAGGGCAACTGGTACTATTGTTCAACCCACAACGGAAGAAAGGACTATGCCCCAAATTGCAAACGCACTGGGAAGGACCCTACAAGATTGTCACGAAAATAAATGACGTCGTTTATCGCATCCAGAGGAGCGACAGTCCCAGGTCGAAGATGAAAGTTGTACATTTGGAGCGGCTGACCCCCTACGGAACGGGAACTGTGCCTATTCGGGACGAACAGGCTTAAGCGGGGGGCAATGTTACGAATATAACTTTAGATTTAAGTTAATTTAGACGAATTCCGTTAATTTAAGAATTTGAATTGTAACGTAAATTTCTACTACGCAGTTTATTTGAATAACTTCACAACAACAACTACTGTATAGATTTTTCTACATCCTTCCAATTCCTCTTTCATTTTCTATTTTTGTTATTGTCGTACAATTCTTGTTAAACGTCATTCCTCTTTCTTTGTTATTCCCTCGCCTGTATATGTGTTGTTGTTATTCCTCTTTCTTTGTTATTCCCTCGCCTGTATATGTGTTGTTGTTATTGTTTACTCAATGTAAGTTTGTATGTGTGTTTGTTGCATTGGTAGATTGTTCGTGATCTAGGTGTTACCAGATCGTCTAGAAACTTCTATAGCGACAAGCAAGGCTCATATAAATAGGGGAAATGGAAAGGCAGTGAGTCAGTTGTGAATCAGATCGCGAATTGAAACCGTCGTGTAAAGTAAAGTGCAAAGTAAAGTTGTGTGAATAAAATCATTGTAATAATCGTAATCCGAAAGAACCTGCGTTTTATTTGGTACGAATTGTATCGGGAAATAAAACAACGTCTACACGGGATTTAGTAAAACCCAAGAACGTAACAATATAATTGTCATTTAAACTCCTTGTACATTAGAACTTTTTACCGGGTTAACCAACTTTATGAGGATTTATTTGACATATATGCAAAGGAAATGACAATTGAAACCCACTGTGTTAACGAAATCCGGTTAAATGCAAACGTACTGTTACACCTTATTAAATACGCCTTGCAAGAATCTACTTATTTTTGCTCTTTTGTTCGATATTAATCGTAGTGAAAAATAGTAGATTCGGCTCGCAATTGGTCTGTTCCCGTACTGCAAGAATGTACTAGATTTTACTATTGTCTTCGATATCATAAAGGAAAATTCGTTATCGTTGTAAAAAGTAGTAGATTCTTGCAGTACGGGAACCGACCAAATATGGGTATTCAATCTTGTGTATTCAGTCTTGTGGAGTCCAGTGCCCCTCAACAAGTTTTCCGACATAATTGGCAAGACTTTTCCATGGTCTATACTATAGTCTATAGTAAAAACGTAGTTTTAATTCGACCGGTCCGATTGTTTATATCATCTACAATCATGTGGATATTCATAATAGCTAAAATAGGTCGAAACTTGTATGTGGGAACTATACAATGGTACATTTTTGTAGGACGATTTGAAAACCAATAAGCTCCAAAATCAATGGACTGTTCCCGTACTGCAAATATCTACTAGATATTACAATTTTTTTCTAGGTCACAAAGAAAAATTCATTATCGTAGTAAAAAGTAGTAGATTTTTCCAATACGGGAACGAACCAAATAATGAAGGGTATCGTTACATGGCCATAACCCATAACTTGAGTCAATACTGATATTTGATATGAATATTTTCTAACCAGTTAGGAACCAAAATACTAAGCTAATAGTATGTTTACATTTAACCAGATTTCGTTAACCCAGTGGGTTTCAATTGTCATTTCATTTGCATATATGTCAAAAAAAATCCTCATAAAGTAGGTTAGCCCGGTAAAAAAAGTTCTAATGTACAAGGAGTTTAAAGCAAATTTGATTTAAAAACGTCCCTAAACATCTCACTATAACGTTATGCAGGGGACCAATATTGATTTTTCGGAAAGGATAACATTGCCTCGTGCTGCGACAGCGCAATCTCCTGTGAGTCTACGACATCATTTTCTTCGTCGGAGTACTAAACTCCACCGCAGTCTCCTCAACAGCAACCAAATATGCAGCTTTTAACACCGCATGTTGCTGTTCCCACTCTTGATAGTGAAAAAATCCGGTTTGGGGAATAATTAGGTATTCTGAATTACAGGGAGTAGGAGAATGAGATGAAATTTTGTGCGAAATGTTTCGCTAATAAATTTAAAGGGACATAAGTAATAACTAATAACTAACATAAGTAATAACTATTTTTATGAAAAAATTTTACACAATACTTATTCTATTACGATTTAGAATATTATAAATGATAGTAAGCTAATTTTTAACTGGAAAACAAACAAAAACCAAACCAAATTTGCCTTAGGAACCTCTTAACAGTGAAAAACTTAAATAAAGGAGTAGGAGCAAATCATAACATAACAGGCCACTTTAAGAAACTGGGGAAATAAATATCGAAATTAAATAAAAAAGCATACAATTATGTAGTGAAGTAATAAACTGAATTAATAAATTCAATCGCAGATTTCTTTCCATTATTCGTTGTTGTATAAAATGTAAACATTTTTAATAAAAAAATCAATAGGCGAGAATATGAAAGCGAAAATTTTTTTACATGCGAGATATCTCCCAACGAATATTCAGAATAAGGCTAAAATTTTCCTGTGAATTTTTTCGAATTCTCGCTTTCGCCTTATTCTGAATAATGTACTAAAGCGAAAAAATCCGCTTTGGGGAAAAATTAGGTATTCTGAGAGTTGGGTTCCTACATCTAGATCAGATCCGTATAGACTAATTTCAAACAAAAAACCTCACGATAGTCCAATTTTTTAATGAGTTACAGAGCTATCTTTGGATGGGTACAAATGTACCACGCTTATTGATCTACGTATACTTTTTTGGTTATTGACGGTAAGGTTAAGATGATGATTAATTGTAAATGCTTTTGGCTTATTTTGTTGAATTAAAAAGAAAACAAAAATTGGAAAGCGTTTAGGTCATGGTTTTGTTCCTTTTTCCGGTCATATTTTTAAAAACGCTTTACCAGAAACTACCCGATGAATAGCCACCAGGTGGAATACGTCCTCGTGCTGGGGCTGCACCACCGGTAGCATCTGCAGCAGCACCATTACCATTGGCTGTGGCAGTTTTATTAGCCGAGGAGGAGGTAGTCTCAGATTTTACCGATCATTACATTTAGATTGGAAGAGTTTTATTGATTATATTTGGGACGTGGAGCATTTACGCTCACGTCAGGCTCCGCGAAAATATTCAAGTGGCCACCCCCTGGTGGTTGTAGAACACGACTGGAAGGACGGGCATTTGAGGTCATGGTGACGGATGTTTGTGTTGAAGTCATGGTGGATGTTTTATTTATTTATTGGAAATTTAAATGGTTTTTTATCGCGTTCTTGCCGTTGCTTTGTTTTCGGTATTATTATTTTTTTACGTATCTTTGTAACTTACGCCTCAAAAACCGCCAAATAAATAAAAACATAAGTATTAAATATTTTTATGAAAAATATCTACACAATACTTCTTCTATGACGATTTAAAATATTATAAATTATAGTAAGCAAATTTTTAACTGGAAAACAACAAATAAAATGCCATTGGAATAACTGGCCACTTTAAAAATTTGGGGAGATAAAATATCGAAATTAAATAAAAAGGCACACGATTATGTAGTGAAATAACAAGCTGTGCATTAATTAATTCAATCGCAGATTTCTTCCCATTATTCGTTGTTTTTTCCATCATAAAAAAATGTTCTTTTATTTGTAATCTATTGTTGTTGTTGCACCAAATTGCATCAAAACAATGAACAGCTGTTTCACATGCCATATTGTAGGTTGCCATATTTTTAAACTTTAATTTATTTTCTTTTAATTACAAAGCATTTATACATACATACATACATACATTTATTGATATTTCACATTTGTATTGTTATAAAGTTTAAATAACAATAAAAAGTAAAATTTTTTAATAAAAATTCAACAAATAAAATATTTTTTTACATGCGAGATATCTCCCAGCGAATATCCAGTATAAGGCTGTATATAAATTAACGTATTTTAATAAATCTCCTTCAAATATGAAAATTCTCTAAAATTTCTTAATTATATTTTTCACGCAAACCTATTTACCTAACCAACCTAATAAATATCCGTTTTTCAACGTCAGCATAATTTAGCTACGCCCCAATGTAGGCAACACTGTTTATGTCACAACAACCACCACCATGGCACACAACCACCAAAATTTATACATTTTATTCAACATCACCACATGCCAGTATTTTTCTTAACGCAAATTCACCACTACCACACCGTGTTGCACTTAATACCAATTAGCGCCTTATATATGTGTGGCTCGTTGGTCTAGGGGTATGATTCTCGCTTCGGGTGTGAGAGGTCCCGGGTTCAAATCCCGGACGAGCCCAAGTTGAAATAAATTTTTTTCTCAATTTTTTATCGTTTGCATAGCTAAAGAGAGAGCGTGAATTTGTGCGGCGAAAAATAAAATCAAAACAAATAAAAAATGAAAATTAAATATACACAACACCGCATGGGTGTGTGTCTGTGAGAAGTCTATTTTTTATAAATGATTACTTTTTTGTGTGTGGTGGGTGAGTGAGTGAATTTGTTTTTTGTTTATTATTTTATAAACTATAATTTTAGGGTTCTTTGTTTATTATTTTCTTCTTTACCATCATAAGTTTCGTTTTCTTTTCATACGTTTCTAGGTTTGATGAAATAAAAATTCATAATAATTATATTTTTTAATTTATGTTTTGTTTCTTTCTTTGTTTGTTTGCATAATTATTATTATTATTAGATACATTTGTTGTTGTTGTATTTTTTGTAAGGTTGGTTCTAGGATTTCGTATGTTTTTTGTTTTGTTTGTAATTTTTTTATTATTAATTTAAATTTAAATCTTAAAAGTTGTGTTCGTTTTGTTATTCAATTTGTGTTTTTTTGTTTTTATTATTCCAGTTTAACTTATTCGTATTCCAATATATTTTTATGATAGAATAATAAATATCTGAAAAGAAAAAATAGAGGAGAAAAGTATTACAAAAAAATATTCAGTATTTAAAATAAGAAGTTTAAAATTTATTTTAAAGTTCTGAACAAATAAATGCTAACGTAGGCCAGTAAATTGTTCATATTTTGAGTGAGTAGAACCAGAGCACATGAGGCTGTGAAAAGGAACCCTTGTTAAAACCAAACTGAAGACCTTTTTGGTAAAAATTTTGTTTAGGACATTGAAATTACCGACGCGGATGAACAAAGTCCTCAAAATAATATATGTATAAAATTGTACCGATATTGATAATTTTCGGTAGGAAGATTTGACATTCAATGTGAACCCAAAATGTAAAATTAAAGCGAATTCGATTGAAAAAACGTGCCCAGAATACCAAATAATGGTTGATGTCGTTATTGGGGTCAAGACTTGGGACAATATAAATAATTTTTTGTACGGAGATTTTAATGCAAAGCGGATCCAAAATTCAAATCCGGTATCTAAGATTTTCTTTCTGTCCTCTGGAATTGCCACATTACTCGGACGGTGGATCCAAAGACATGTTCTTCGAAACGATTGTCAATAATAAAACCATCGAAAACCAATAACTGAACCAGAAGCGTGAATTGCTAGATATATATTTTTTGAAGGACTATAAGATCCTGAAACATTGTATTTTTAAATAAAATATATTCAGAAAGATTTTCGGATATATATGCCTGAATTTTCAAACAAAACTTTTTTTCACACTTACCCCTCACTATCCAAAACCTGTTTCAGTGTTGCCGTCGTTATAATATGATCATCACATTTCACCCAGGTATCCTTGTGGTGTCGTACATAGGCCGTATAATGACCGGCATCAATTGTGCCCACATGGTTGACCACAGCATATAGCGAATAACGAAAATCACCATATGCATTATTTTTCTCCGACATAAACGGTGTCATATCGAATTCGACGGGAAATGAGATAAATGTGGAAATTTTCTTATCGATCAGCGATGAATGTTCGAAACGTTTCAAATGAAAGCTGGCCACACTCGGCAATGTACGCAGGCTAAATTGTTTTGTTGACTCTTGATACGATTTACATGTTGAACATTTAATTTTTGCCGATGAACCTAAATGTTCGGCACGTGTATAACGTTCGAGACAATCGATTAAGGATTTGGGTGTTGCACCACCATGAGCTTCACCCAAATCCAATGATATATCCCAAAATGGATCAATTGTGGTGGAGACACCTTTACACGATTGACAGACAACATCACTTTGTAGCATACCGGTAAATATTTGATCTATAATACAATTACATTGTGTGGGGCAATTTGTATGGGTTGTCGCCTGTGAAGAACTTGATTTATTGGCACTTTCTGTTTCAGCTTTGGCTTTAATACAATGACGATGCAGCACATCCAAAGTGGCAATGAAAAATTCATGGGCATCTTGTTGTTCATAGCCGGCCAAATGTTTGGCATGATTCCATATTAAATGCAATAGACGATGTAATGAGAGTGGGGTACGGGAACCGGAATAGAATTCCTAAGGAAAGAAGAACGTGTAAAAAGAGGCTTGTTATTAAATTTGTAATTTATTGGTATGTGGAGAAATAGAAAATTACCTGGAATAATCGAGAAACTTCACAAACTAAACATTTCATAGAGGATTTTGCACTGCATTCATGACGATCCGACAGAAAGTAATCACATAGTAATGGGGTGTGTATTAAAGCCTAAAGAAAATTAACAAAAAAAAATATATTACAATTAAAATAACTATATTATTCTAATTAAAAAAAATCAATGAATAAATTGAATTATTAAAAAAATGACTACAAATTATATACAAATGTATTTCATAAATAAATGTTATCAAGATATTTTTTAAGGGCTTACTGAATTTTTTAAAGGTTATCTGATCCCTATTATATATATATATATATATATATATATGTCAATTTTTAAACTCTTTTTTTTTATTTATAATCTCATATTTTTTTCAACGACTTTCTGACTTATTAGATTTGGATTTTTTAAATATACTTTTCAAGCACTGTCCGACCTTTAAGCGTCGATTTTTTTAATACATTTTTTCGAGGACTATCTGACCTCTAAGCGTGGATTTTTTAAATACAATTTTTTCAAGAACTCTGAGCGTGGATTTTTTAAATACAATTTTTTCAAGGACTATCTGATCTCTAAGCGTGGATTTTTTAAATAGCATTTTTTCAAGGACTATCTGATCTTTAAGCGTGGATTTTTAAATAGCATTTTTTCAAGGACTATCTGAACTCTAAGCATGAATTTTTTAAATAGAATTTTTTTCAAGGACTATCTCTATGCGTGGATTTTTAAATACAATTTTTCAAGGATTATCTGATCTCTAAGCGTGGATTTTTTAAAAATAATTTTTTCAAGGACTATCTGATCTCTAAGCGTGGATTTTTTAAATAGAATTTTTTTCAAGGACTGTCTGATCTCTTAGCGTGGATTTTTAAATACATTTTATTCAAAGACTATCTGATCTCTAAGCGTGGATTTTTTAAATACATTTTATTCAAAGACTATCTGATCTCTAAGCGTGGATTTTTTAAAATATTTTTTTCCAATGCTATCTCACGTCTAAGCGTGCACTTTTAAATAATTTTTTCGAGAACTTTCTACCCTCTAATCGTGAAGTTTTTAAATGCAAATTTTCAAACCTCTAGTCTTGAATTTTCTAAATATCGTTTTTTCTTTGAGGATTATCTAAACTTTTATCATAGATTTTTACAATTTTTTTTTTTTTCGTGGACTACCTAACCTCTGATTTTGGATTTTTAAATACATTTTTTCGAGGACTATCTAATCTCTAATCTTAGATTTTTAAATATATTTTTTTTTTTGGAGGACTGCCTAACCTCTGATCTTGGATTAAAAGAACAATTGAGGACTATGAAACCTCTGTTCTTGGACTTTTTAAATATGTTTTCTATGACTATTTGATCAAGCCCTATTACTTTATAACGTATGGTATTTTTCATTATATTTTTAAGGCCTGTCAAAAAAACCGCTTCATGGACAGATAGTCCCTAAAAAAATTTATAATAAACCCCGTTTATTAATCAGATAGCCCCCCTTAGAAAATGTTTTTAAGAAATCTTCGGTTATAGCTCAAAAAGACGTTGAAAAAAATATAGCTCTAAAAGACCTTGAAAATATAAACATTTACTCTGAAAATCACCCTTACCTGCACAATACAATTCATAAAACAGGTGGAACCTAAATTAATGAGACCCCTCAGGCCCAGTGTTTCATTCGCTCTGACATTGCGACGTCTTGGATTGGCTAACATTAGATTTGTCTCCTTCGGCGTTGGAATCCACGGTGTCCAGGCTAGACTCTTTTGTAAATCTTTAGCCTCTAGTTTACGATTGACGGCGGCGATTTCTCGAGACCTTGCGTCATAGATAAAATCTCGACAAGAATTACAATACAATGTGCCGTGTGACAATTCCAAGGCTATGGAATGTTTTTTGGCACGTAAATGGGTGGTGATGTGCGTACCACGGCAACCAAAATAGATGCAATGGAGACAGGCAAACAGCTGGATACCATAACTGCCGCACTCAAAACAGCAACAAGTTAAGGCCTGAAACAATAAAAAACCATATTATCTCGGTTAGGTTTTGAAATATCCCGACATAATTCCTACCTTCTTTTCTCGAGCATCCCTGTTAATACAGGCCGAAAAGTAAGCATCTATAATACGATACGTGTCCAAAGAATTTTCCTTAACATAAGCCTGAAAATGTTTACAGCCATTTTCGGACATATTCGAGCGATTGCCGCTTGCAGCTGTTGTAGAAGTGGAGGCCAATAAAAAATCACCCGATACCGAGCCAGCTTTAAGAAGTTCGTTAAAATTCCCAACACCGGTGCCACTGTCCGTACCCTTTAGCCTTTGTGTCAGTAACAAAAGCAAAGGTGTGGTCTCGTCGCTATCATTCAAATCACCCCTTGTATTACGTTTCTGGCCACAACTACCACTGCGAGCCCTGGTCAAAGGTCCACCAAATGATTCTTCCTCGTCCTGCTGCTGCTCGCCCTGTAAAATTTCCAATTTTGTTACCTTGGCTGGGCAACAATTTTCTGTTCCTCCACTGGCACTGCCACCACCACCTGATTTCCGAAAGGATTTGCCGCCGCTGTTGCTGCTGCTGCCACTATCACATTTGTCATAAATGCCGGTAGTAGATAACTTGCTGTCGCCTTTATCGTTATAACCACCACCACCACTGCCGCTAGCGCTACCACCACCACTACCAGAACTTACTGTCTTGTTACGGGCCAATTTTTCACTTTTTCTCGCTTTACGCTGAATTTTGCAGCTGTTTACGATGGATATTCTTTTTCTCTTTCCGTTGTTCTTTTTTGCCGTGATTTGTGTGTGCGGTGTTGCTCTCGGTGGTGCTGTTGCCGTAGTTGTTGTTGTTGCTACTACTGCTGCTGCAGCTGAGAAAACTTGTCGTCGTCGTCTTCGTTGTCGCCGGCAGGAATACCTATTGCTGTTTTAGTCTTGCTAACCAAACGCTGTCTCACTGAAACCTTTAGAATATTTGAAACGTAGTTTAATTTATTTATTCAAACATTGATGTTTGTTTTTATTCGATTTAGATTGGCTAAGAAACCTTATATTGCAAATTTCTCGTTCGCTTAACTCTTAATTCGTTTGCAGTAGAACAACTTTATTACACATACACGCACACACACAATTCATATACGCAAAAACACTTTGTTTTCTTTGGTGATGGTACTACTACCTAATCGATTGTGGTACAATGTGCATGTTATCGGTTATCGTTCAGTGGGAATATTAAGGGGTATGGTAACATGATGAATTTAATTCACAAAATCGTATATGGAAGTAATTAAAAATAAAAAGGTCAATGAATGCGGAAAGTTGTAGAATTATAAGAATACGAAAACACACGGCACAATTATTTAGGGTAGGTCATAGCACCTTATAAATTACACTTTTTTCATATTTTTACTACGATAACATTTTTTTCCTTTATAATATCGAACAGGTCTTGAAGAATATAATTTAAAAGAATATTGTAAAATCAATTGGTCTGTTCCCGTAATGCAAGAATCTACTACTTTTTATCGAAGAAAATAATAAAATTGAGTAGCTTCTTGCAGTACCGGAACAGATCAATCGGTAAAAGAAATTTATGATTTGTAGATGAATTAATATCTAAATCATATTCCCAACTCGATTTTGAAAAGAAAATCTGACATTACATTAATATTTTTGCGTTTCTAGTAAAATAATAATAATAAATAGTTGTTTTTTTATAAAAACAACAAACTGGGATTCAGCCTGACTATTTTGCAAAAACAAAATTCTAGTAAAATGTTAAAAATATGTCAAATGAAAAGAACGAGTTGTTGTATTTGTATTTGTATTTGCAAGAATTTACTAGAGTTTACTATTTTCTTCGATATCATAAAGGACCTGTGTTAGTGCTATAACACACAACTACATATTTGGTCTGTTCCTATACTGCAAGAATCTACTATTTTTTACTACGATAATAGTACGTTTACATTTAACCGGATTTCGTTAACCCAGTGGGTTTCAATTGCCAATTCCTTTGCACATATGTCAAATAAATCCTCATAAAGCAGTTTAACCCGGTAAAAAGTTCTAATGTATATGCCGTTTAACTCGTGTTTCATTTTATAGGTTTTATGTATCATCAACTTACCTCATCTCTGGTTACAATACAGAACATAAGGTGATCATACGCTCTCTATTTTAGAGGACAATCATCAATTTTATCTGTCTGTCGTCTATAAAATTTATGTCCTCTATTTGTCATCTATTTTTATAATCGCCATCTATATTTTTAAAACTTTGTTCAATTTGTATTTTTGTAAATTAAAACAAGTTAATAAATACATTTTTTAAAATATTTGAAAATATTTTCGGTATTTTCAGAACTTTTAGACAAGTTTTCTATCCGAATTATCATGGTACAATTATAAAAGGTAACAGCAAATCCCAGCTGATTTGATTCCAACGTTATACTAGTGTCAATATGAATTTGACAAATTATGTTTTTAAAAATCACCCAACAGGAAAATTGGGAACGCATACAATTTAAAATTGTTCTTTATTAAATGTGCTCCTGTATTCAATTTACTCAATTGCCTGCTGGGAAAGTTTGAGGAAGCAAATCTTTCTTCAAGGAATAACTCGCTATTCCCAGCATTTTCATATGTGTTACACATATATATGGCAATGGCTCAATTATAGGAAAGATGTGGAATAGATAGAAATATAAATTTGATAGATTTTCATTCATGTTTTTCAATTTTTATTTTGAGGATTCGAAAATATTTCATTTTCAAAAAAATAATAATTTGATGATAATTTGTTTGTTTATTTACATTTTTCTGTCAAATGAGTTGACACTAGTAGAACTTACAAAAACAAATTTCCATGTGGTTGTTGTATCGTTTTTTGTACCTTCTGTTACCTTCTATTATTATACCATGCCGAATTATCTGCTATTTTGAGTTCTAATTGGGTAACAAATTTCCCTTAATAACTAGTAATTATTAAACGTTGATATTTTTTTAGGGTTTCTGGACACATTTTGAAACCGAATTGGCGGTAATTATATATTTTGTGTTCTATGTTTCTAGGTGTCCTCAATATAAAGAAATAAATCTTTTAATTTTGTTCTTAATTTTACGTTAATTTGCCTTCAAAAATGGTTGCAATTTATTATTCCCTGTGGCCTATGGGTTGCAAAATATCCTTGGAAAACATAGTCGACATAGGTATACTTCCTTAGGCTACGTTTAGACTACTAAATCCCCTCGATCTCAAATGTGAATTCCATTGCGAAGGATTACATTGGTCTATATTGTGTTACAAAAAACTTACCTCCGATTTATCATCTGTATTTCATTCGAATATTGAAATTATATATTTTTGCGGAAAACACATTTCCATTCGATTTTGCTTTTAAAATTCCGAAAAATTCTAAAAAGTCTCAACAAAATGACAAAACAATTGCTCTGTTTTGTTTTGTCTTCATATTCGATTTGATAACCTTTGCTTTACCAGTAACTACTGAATTGGAATGATATACCTAGACAACTTTTTCAATCGACAAATAAATCCAACAGTCAATTGTGTGTCCCTTTTTGGGGTATAAAGTAACTAGATCACCAAGCAACTATTTAATTAACTATATATCAGCAGACAATTGATATTTTTTGAACAACTGGGTATTTATTAATGCTTTAAGTTCACTTCTTTAAAACCAGCTGTTATTAGTTTACATATACATACACATTTTATTGGTTTCATAATTTCTGTTTAGCTCAGAGGGGCTCCGCCGTTAAGAGCCGGTACGCCGAATGCGTCGAGCAGTGGACCGTAGGGGAGGGGTGAAACAAGTGCGCCGTGAAAGTAAAGAAGAAGGTAAAACACAGAGGTTTCTTAATAACAATTCTATGGTTTATTGCATGGTATAATAATAGAAGGTAACAGCAAGTGTTGTTGTGCAAAAAACGATACAACAACCACATGGAAATTTGTTGTTGTAAGTTCTACTAGTGTCAACAAATTATCATCAAATTATTTTTATTTTGAAAATTAAATATTTTCGAATCCTCAAAATAAAAATTGAAAAACATGAATGAAAATCTTTCAAATTTATATTTCTATCGCGTCCACATCTTTCCTTTAATTGTGCCATTGCCACATATATGTATAACACATATGAAAATGCTGGGAATAGCGAGTTATTCCTTGAAGAAAGATTTGCTTCCTGAAACTTTCCCAGCAGGCAGATTGAGTAAATTGAATACGGGAGCACATTTAATAAAGAACAATTTCAAATTGTATGCGTTCCCAATTTTCCTGTTGGGTGATTTTTAAAAACATAATTTGTCAAATTCATATTGACACTAGTATTACGTTGGAATCAAATCAGCTGGGATTTGCTGTTACCTTTTATAATTGTACCATGGGTTTATTGATAGGTTGAGTAGATGGTAACGAAATTACCTTTCTAAACACAACGATAGGTGCTCGCAAAGACCTGCGTAGTGTCTGTCTGACTGACAGTTTGATACTCCTTGATGCTAGAAGGAGGCGGCAAAAGCAAACGACAATTAATTACTCTTTAAATTGTCAACGGCGCTAAACCAAGGTTGCAATATACCGTAGCGCGTACATTTCAACGAATAATTAAGGACCAAACCAGGGGTCAATAAAAATTAGTATTTTTATACAAATCTAAATTAAACAATTTCGGTGTAAATTTTTTCATTGTTCTAGTCCGAAACCGAAAATTTAATATATTATCATTTTCGAACCGCAACACCGCTAGGGATTACTCTCCAAATTGTTTTAAATTTTAGTAATAATTTAATAATTGAAAATTATCAGCAGCTGTGACGCAACTATTTTGAATTTTGAAAATTTTTGGAAGCTCAAAGCGTATCCATTTTTGGTACGTTTAGAAGGAGTGATGTATTTTTTGTTGCAAAAGCAGGGTTGTATTTTGAATTATGTCGATTCCCAACAAATCGAAATATTCCGTGAATTTAATTTTGTATGACAAAATCTGCCCGATTTAATAATTAAAACGAGATATTGCTCATTATCACAATAAATGCTATAGTCTAAACGCGTCTTAATGCTGTCATTATATAAACAATAAATTTAAAATAAAATTGAGAACTGTCAAAGTAGACTGAATCGGTTTGGTGAAATCCCTTTTCTATCTTCCGACAAATTACAATAATATCAAAAGCATAAAATTCATGTAATTATTTATTAATAAATTTTCTCGCATTATTTATTTTGAAAAACTTTGACGCCGTTAACGCTTTACCAATCGCCCAACGCTTAATTCTGTCATTGAACAAAGCGAAGTACTAAACGCATAAACTTCTAGCCTCACTTCGAAAAAGGCATTTACAAACAATACCACACCTTTCCTTTGAAAAACTTTGACGCCGTTAACGCTTTACCAATCGCCCAACGCTTAATGCTGTTATTGAATTTAAACGCCTTCTACAGAAATTCTCCAACCCAGTGGCAACACTTTTCGTCACAAAAACAGGGACATTTTCTATTTTGTCCCAAAAACCTTTGAATAAACAACAAATTTTCAAACTGAAGGGCGCAAATTGTTTGTTGTTGGCCCAATACAACCGTCTACATTTCGAACGACCGACCGAACGAACTCGAAATTCTAACATCCTGCCATCCAAACATCTGCTTCCTAGCTTGTGGCTAAAAATAAATCACAACCCAAACTAAGGAAAAACTTAGTGAAATTCAAAGGCGATAATGGAAGGCAGCGATCATGAGACGCCACAAAAATTTAAAAGTGGCCACCGGTTTATGGTGCATTATCAAGCATCGGATGATGGCAACAAAGTGACGCCTAAAAATAAACAATTTAGGAAGTCAATAAATCCTAGGACACCGCAGGGTCTGAGCTATTCCCTGGGCAATTGCAATACAATGATGTCGTCGAATAGCAGTAATGGTGGTATGCATTCCATATCGATGGCTGTGATACAGACGCCGCCGGCAAAACGACATCAGAAGATTAAGAATCCCTTTGAAGCGGCGTGGGCAGAGAGGTTGCATATGCCATTAATAGCAAGGTGAGTTGGATACTGTTGTGTAGAGATTTCTGGAGGGAATTTATTGTAATTTTGTTTGTGATTACAGTCCGTCGCTATTCCAACGCCCCGACACACCGCAAATGAGTTCCACTCAGTGTGAATGGACCATAGAAGAGGTTTCAAGTTTAATGCCGGCAAATGTAGAACCCCATGAAGCTCAATTCAACGATTCGCCTGACCCCGAATTGGAAGCTAAAGCTCAAATGGCAATAAGTTCCTATTTTAAAGATAATCAAATTGTGCCAAGTCCAGTGGATTGTCCGCTGAGAAGTCAACGTATTGTGTTGCATGATTTTAGTGGCACCACACCCATATCGAAACCGGGACGTAGAATACGTGATTGTGCATCGCAGACGGAATTGACATTGCCGCCCATTTTGCCACCAGCTTTGGAAGAAGCACTGAAGCCATATTTCCAGCCCCATTTGGCGGGAGCCAATATTGAATTGAAAAAGTCACGTTATGCCCAACGTTCGGCCAGCTCTAGTATAGATGCCAAGGATACATCGCTGAGGCGCAAGCTCTTCGATATTCATAATGTTCTTATATGGGAAAATGAACAGCAATTATTGGCAAAGGGGGCTAACAACAGTTCGGCCTCAGCAAGTGGCAGCGGTAGTGCTGCGGGTGGTGGTCAATCAAATTCAAGTCCTCACTCACTGCAGTCGCTACAACATACAGCCATTGTGGGTAAATTATCTGACTCCTTGGACAAGAGCTCATTTGGCTCACTTTCACCTATCTCGGCCTCAGATGATCTCTCGCCATCGTTGGCAGACAAAGGCAGTGCCACGAAACGTAAATCACGTTTCAATAATCTACGTGCCGAAATTGAGGAACTCGAACAACTATCGCCCATACACCCGCCCGTTAGAAGGAAACCAATTGAGAAATTATATCGTTCGCAGAACAAGGAGAATAATCTCAGTCATGATATGACCAACAACACGAGTCAAGAAACAGACAATGGAAAATTTACTCCAGAAAGATCTTCATCCCCGCTGGCCTCAATGATAACCAATAACATTGGAGAATTTTCATCGGATAGCTTCAATATAAAGGTTAGTCGTTTAAGGGTTAACTCTTCAAAATGTTCCAACAAATCGAATAAAGAACGGCTGACAACAAAAGTGGCGGGAGCTAAAAATTCCAGCAATATTTTACAAGAAGTGGACGTCTTTATGAATCACGAAGAAACCCTAGAAGAGTTACTCGAGTACACGGGCATTGATGTGGAGGATATGCAAATTTCTCAGGTGTCTGGCCATAGCTCCACATGTAGTTCATCACAATCAGATACCCCGCGAGGCAAAAGGCGTTCGGCAAGTCGTAAAAATTTGTCACAATCATTTTCGGCAAATTGGCTAAACGATGACGATGGTGATGAAAATGAACAACCCAACAAAGAGGATAAGAAATTGAATCGCATTTGCCAAGACTTGAAGAAAAAGAATTTCAATCCTGCCGCATTAATACCAACAAGTTCCTCATCATTTGGTGGTGTCATCCATCATACACCGGTTAATAGTTCACCGAAAAAATCATTGACATTCTATCGTACGGATAGTGGTTTTAATGAGCTATCACAAAATTCATCAGAATCACAAGATGGTCCAACATTGTCACAACCACATCAACAACACAACAACGATCATATGAAACAAAATCTATCGACTACGACGCCGGGCGAACAAATGATGGTACATTGCTGTTCAACACCCTCAACAAAACAGGATAAGTTTGATTTTATGATTTAATAGAACAAAAAATATTTGATCTAATACTACAAATTATTTAAGTTTAGTTAATTTTTTCAATATCACAAAATAATTATATATTATATATTTTTTATTAAGTTTAGTAAATTTAATTTTTCATTTTCATATCACAAAATAATTATATATTTTTTATATATTTTTTTAAATGAAAGACTGCTAAATAATTGAGGAGGAATTTTTATGGTCTACAAAGAGTAAAATTTTCAATTAACTAATCCCAGTTATATAGTTTAGTAGAAATTTATTTTTATAATATTTTACCATTTTCAGATGTATTTCAATAATTTATTAATTATATTTTTTATATTGGAAATTTTTAATGGTTAAACATTTTTCTTTCCCGAATTTTTAAATATTATTTAAAATATAGTTTTCGATAGCTGGGAAACTTCGACCTCCAGTTTTGACTTTCACCTTCCTAATAAAAAAGGTTTAATAATGGTTCGATAGTTCAATATTCGTAATTCATTAAAAATAATTTGTAATTAAAAAGAATAAGATTAGGGACTAATCGTAATAAACTTGTATTTTTTTAATACTGTAGGTTTTGAAAAGTGGGTGTCTATAGAGTGATTAAGAGTTTCATCTACGGACAGGTTAGAATACGTGATTGTACATCTCAGACGGAATTGACATTGCCGCCCATTTTGCCACCAGCTTTGGAAGAAGCACTGAAGCCATCTTTCCAACCCCATTTGGCCGGAGCGAATATTGAATTGAAAAAGTCACGCTATGCCCCAACATTCGGCCATCTCTAGTATAGATGCCAAGGATACATCACTTAGGCATAAGCTCTTTGATATTCACAATTTCTAATATGGGAAAATTAACAGAAATAAAGATTAAGGACCAATCGTAATAAACTTGCAAATGTTTATAACAGTCTGTCGCTAAATTCCGAAATGCTTATTTTTTTTAATGCTATAGGCTTTAAAAAGTTTTGAAACGGAGGATTTAGAGCGGTTAAGAGTTTCATGTATGGACAGTTTCAAAATCGGAGAATAACCTAAATAATAATTATCACAAATATTAGCTTCTTAAAATATTTCATTACAAATTCCAAACAGTTAAACGTGATAAACAAATTTTAGGTTATGGGTTTAAAATTCCATCGATGATTAAATGTCGCTGTAGATTTTTAATTTTTATTTGCATATATTATTGTAAAATTGTTTTTAAATTAAATTACAAAAATAAATGTTTTTAATTTTGATTTTTAATATTTTTTTAAAATTGTATTTCAGTCATCCTAAATTGAATAAAGTATGTTGTCTTTAAGCCATATTACAACTCAAGCAAGTTGAAGCTACTTTCTTCAATTCCTTGAGGATGATTGGAGAATCCAATCGAAATATTGGAAACAATAAATATTAAAAATCTAAATTAAAAACGATTTTTACTTTAAAAAGCCTACAGCCAAACTAATACAACAAAGATAAACAAAACTAGCCAAACGATGCCAATTCAAATAATTTTTAAATTAAATTACAAAAATATGATTTGCAAATTATTATCCCATTTTTAATTAATTTTTTAAAATTGTATTTTAGTATTAATTCAATATAAACCCATATTAAAATCAGTGAGCGTGGCAGTATAGTCGCACGGGGCGACCATATGATACCCTACACAACTACAACGAAAATCTAAATTTCTGCGGTTCTATATTCTGAGCCTGGGCAATATTTCGCGATATTTGCACCCTCTTTACCAATTATAGGTCAACAGCTCTACTTTCTAACAATGGCATATTTACGTTGATCGGATGTAGATATTGACCGATCTTTAGCGAAACAGGCACGCTTATTTTTGGCCTGATCCTCTTAAAACTTCGTGATGTTCGGAAAATAATTGGCCTCTAGCGCTATCGGAAAAACATATAAAAATAAAGTTTTTGGCCCATTTCATCCCAAAAACAATAGGGGTCTTCTTTGGCCAGCACTCGTCCTATATGCAAAATTTCGTGGCTATTGGTTCATAACTGTAGTCTATTATCGTGTTTACAAATTATAATGGACAGACGCACGGACGGATACATATGGCTAGATCGACTCAGCTAGCTATAGGGTATAATTAAAATAATTTCAATTGCGATAAAAGTCTTTTTTATTAAAAATGAAGATCTAGGGTATTATAATTAATATTAGTAATTATAAACAGACCCATAGGAATTACAAATGACCTATCCGAGCTTTTATTCATAACCCCAGAAAAAATAACTGCATCCCCAGATACAACATCTTGCCAATATTCCTAAATCGTTTCCCATTTAACTGCTGAATTTTTAAGTAATCTATGGTCTATACATTAGTCTAAGGTGAGAGGAAAGAGAAAAGTTGTAGTATTTTCTCCCTTTCTTTTTCTGTGACCTTTAGGATAATTATGCTGCTAAAAATTAAAAAAATATATAATTTTGTCTTATCTGAAATACATCTGAAAATTTTTAGGAAAAAAATTAAATAAAAAAACCGATAAAATAAGAACATTATTTGCAATATTTAAACAAAGGCCTTATGCTTAAATTATAGCGAATTTTAGGAATAGAATAAAAAACATAAGAAAAGTTCCCACCTAATACTTATGTAGTTTTAAAATAATTTTTTTTTAAAAAAAGACTCGAAATGTATTTATTATAAGTTTCACAAATTAACAATTGTATAAAAGATTTCTTTATTTTTGTAAGAGATCAAGCGCCGCCATATTTATGTACGTAATTATATTTTTATAAAATTTAATATTTAATTATAATATACTAGTACACTACTCAATGATTCTAAAGAAATTCTAAACAAATTATAGGGAGTTTTTTTAGATTATAGATCATTAGAAATATATGTAGTAAAGGAGCAAGAGGAAAATAATCAAGCAATTACATTTGTAAAAGAATGACACTTCAATATTAATTGATTTATAAATTTTTAAAAATGCATACAACTGTTTGCACAGTTAGGCAGTGTATACACCAGTCAATGGTTTATAATTTTCCAAAAAATGTAAATGAATTGAAATTTTGTAGTTAAATCGCTACAAAATTTAACTTTTTTAAACTAATTTCATTTTTTGTTATTCATGATACCGACAGCCATCAATGGTTTACAAATTTCCAAAAAATACACTCGAATTTCTCTAAGTTGGAGATCTACAAAAATTCAAATTATTTTTTTAACTAATTTCATTTTTTTATTACTCATTTTCCCCTCAGTTTATTCGTTTTACATATTCCGGTATATTAATCTTAACTATTATTAGTGTAAGATAATATTTAAAACTGTTATACAGACACAAAATGAGAGTGAATGATATATTTTAGGTCGGCATATATCTGATTTTACATTAATTTAATTTTTAATAATGCAATTCTCATAGTTTCATCCACCTAAAGACTTTGTGTTGTAACATCATGGCCAATTTATAATTTAATAAGAAAATTATAGCTATATTTTTTCAATTTTTGTTATTATTATTGTAAAGCAGTAGCTGCTTCATTTGAGGCATAACAGCTCGTTTATAATTTATAAAATTGTATTTTTTTAATGTTATTAAAAAACTAATTGTTGAGATACAAAATGACAATTTTTGATTTATTTTTTTAATTATATTTTATGTTTTTTTTTACTTTTGCGTTACATTATTGTTTTCAAATAGTTATGTTATAATGTTTTACATACTATTACAGATTTGTCCCGTGTTATGCAAGTTGTTAGATTAAAATGAAAGACAATATAAACCAGGTTGTAGGATCCATCATCATTACGGTTAGTTATATATTGAGAAATAGAAGCCGACCAAATGGAGTGTTGATTAAAAAAAATTCTAATACAAACCTTATGTTCTTAATAATTTTAAATATGTTTGTTATATTCTTATTAATTACGAAAATAAAGAAATATACCAACCACACAGTATCCTATGGACTTCTTAACAAATTGAGGTGTTTTTTTATTTTATTTTACTGTAATATGCACACATTATTTCGAAATTTCAGATTCCAATAATAAATAAAAAAGTGAAGAAAAGTTCGGCCTGGCCGAATCTTGAACTTTACTACAGCAAATGAGTTTGGGATGTAATACAAAACGGGCGGGATATATTAATATATTACTAAGAAATACTTAATTTTCATTATTGATTAACAATCATAGATCGAGCTGACCCCGACGGAGTTATCAGGGAAGATAAATGGTTGCTGGTCGACAGATACATCCTTAACGATGAAATTGATAGACGGAATCCTTGGTTTGGTTTGTTAATTGTCGTAGTAAGGAGTCCTCGGACTTCCTTAAGAAAACCATTAATAACAGTGACCCTCTTTGGGATGTTAGTAAACTGGCAGCCGTTGCGGTCCACTAGAATACCGAGCGGGATGGTTACCACAGTGTGGATCCCACCACCATTTATGAGACTGGTTGAACTGAGGTTGGTTAAACGACGGACTTTAGATGAAAGAGTGGAGGATTCTCACCACTTTGAAAAATAGTGGTGCTAAGTTCGTCACCGACTCTGCAGGAGAACAATACCTAAGGAGAAATAAGATGTCTTGGGGAAGCCTCAATTCCGCCTCCCGCCAATGAAAAAAGCAACAATCAGCAGCACGCGCTAAACACGGTACATATTAATATGCATCATTGTAAAGCAGTAGCTGCTGAACTGCTCCTCACTCTTTCCTCCTCTAATATCGATATCGCACTCATCCAGTTTTGAGTGACAAAAAGTATACGGGTTTCACCGCCTCCACGGGAGAAAAGGTGTTTATTAGGTAAAAAATAACTAAATTTGATATATAGGCGAGACCCCTCATAGTCTTTCTCCCGAGATCCGATGTAATGAATAAGGGGCGGGATCATAATGATAAAAATGGGAATACATTCGTTTTAAGAAATATGGTGGTCCTTCCGTAGATCTCTATTTTAAGAGATTGCACAATAAATAGGAATACAAAATTCCAAACTACAATTATTTCGATTGAAAACGTCGAAAAA